TGAGAATACTAGGAATTTAAATTCCTCTGAATTCAACATAAAACACAAAGCCAACACTGTAAATTACAAAAAATATCAGCTAAACAAATGGTAGAAGCCTATCAAATTATGCTAATTTTACCAATCGCATTTTTCAAGGCAGGACATGAAGACAAAAAACCTCTTGCTCATTTCTACTAGTACAACAGAAATTTAAGAAAAGACAGCCAAAAATATGAAGGTATTATCCATAAAAAATTATTCACACCAATCAGAGTACCCTTGAGAATTATGTAAAAAAAAAAAAAAAAAAAAAAAAAAAAAAAAAAAAAAAAAAAAAAAAAAAAAAAAAGGCTGCAGCAATGTACTACATAGAGCTTAGAAAATATACTTGATATCTAACCTGATAATGCTGTTGCTGTATCACAAAACTAAAAATTTTATGAATACCCCCAGAACTAGTGGATGTGATCTTAAAATTTACCCTAACATATGTATGATATTCAAGATAGTAGGTCAGAGAGTTTCAATTACCCATGTAACCACTACCAGGGGAGAAGTAAGAAGGTGCCATTTCTAACCGAAGTTATTCTCGGGTGATATGCAAAGCCAGCAGGTCTATGGAGGCCAAAAAGTCCACTAAATCTGAAAATTACCAGTAGATAAACTTTCCAACCTTACTGGATTTACCAATTCCTCTTCCATTTTTCAGTCCAAATCAAGAAGCTATTTATGTACCAATAACATCAACTCAGGGTTATATACGTACTACCTTCTTGGCTGGTGGATCAGTGAGTTATGTTATAGGGCATTATGGCCACCAACAGTGAATGCAATAAACCCAATTTACACAGTATCTCTTTGTGCATCTTCCATGGTGACAAATTTAGTAAAGTATCTGTCATATGAAAATATACTTTACAAATGAATCTATTTTACAAAAGATTTGAGCATTCTAAATCTCAAACTAAATTTTCCAAATACGTTCTTACATGAGAGTCAATTTGTAGAAATTGAGTTGGAGGAGGAAGTTTTATGGTGATTCTGGGAGAATGAATGACATACTGAAAGCTTATTTGTAGACTTAATAACACTAAGAGTGTCTGAGAATAGTGAATTAGTGTAGAGGTAGTGTATTTGCATAAACTAATGATATAGCCAAACTGACACTAGTACTATGGTTTATTACATACTTTCCTTAGACACATGATGTTTATGATATTATCCATTTCATGTATTCATCCTTTTTACGGAAGCCTCTGGGTCTCAAACTTTTCAATTGACAGATACTTTACTGTACTAAGGCTCTGAAGGAGAAGCCAAGATACACAGGGAGTGGCCAATATGTAATGTATCTATGGACAATTCAACAATGATACCAAAAATCAGAGCCATGATCCTTGCTGCTCTCTCAGAGCCACAGTACAGTATTGACTTTTTCATTGTGAAAGTCCACAAACAGTACTGTACTGTACTTTGACTTTCTGACAATCTGAATGTGTTTTCTAACATTCTGTAAATGTTTGTGTAAAATAAACATAATAGAATTTACTGTACAGTAAACCCTTGCCATTCTTGGGTTTGCGATTCGCAATTTCGACGATTCGCGGTAAGCAGATGGTGGCCAGCTTGCGAGCCTCCCCGCAGCGTCTCCTCCCCTGTTTACGCACAGCCATTGCCTGTGACGCAGCATCCGTGTTGTACTCTCAAAACTTTAGTGTTTGTGTGAAAATAGCCCCAAAAGACTGCCTAGTGTCAATGCTAGTGATGCTAGTTGAGTGAAACGTAAAAGGCAGAAGTCAGTGATGACCCTGACAAAGAAAGTTGAATTAGTAGACAAGTTAAAGGAGGAGATGAGTGCTGCCGCGGCTGGTCGGTTGTTTGGCGTGAACGAATCAACAGTGCGGTACATAAGAAAGAATGAACAAGCAATTCGTGATTCTGTTCAAGTGGGTGCTCCTGCAAGTGCTAAAGTGGCGCAGGTTGTTCGTGACAAGAACATAGTAAAAACAGATAAAGCACTGAACATTTGGATTGAGGACCAGCACTACAAAAATGTTCCAATCAACAGCAACGTGATTCGTGAGAAAGCTAAGAGTCTTCATGCCCATTTTTACGAGTCAACGGGTGGTGAAGGGGCTTGTGTGGCTACTGAACCAACTTTTAGTGCCAGTAAAGGGTGGTTCGAGAATTTTCCGAAAAGATTCTCTCTCCACAATGCAAAGCTGACTGGGAGGGCCGCTTCAGCTGACCAGACAGTCGCAGATGCATTTCCTGCAAAGTTAAAGAAAATAATAGAAGAGAAAGGCTATAGACCAGAGTAAGTGTTTAATGCCGATGAATCTGGTCTATATTGGAAAAAGATGCCTGGTAGAACGTACATAAACTAGCAAGAGAGGAGTGCCCCTGGGTTTAAGGCAGCCAAGGACACAGTGATGCTCATCTTCTGTGGCAGTGCAGCTGGTCACATGATCAAACCTAGCTTGCTTTACCATTTAGCAAACCCTAGGGCTTTAAAGGGTAAAAACGAACTTTTTGCCAGTGTTTTGGCAGTCCAACAAAAAGGCATGGGTAACTGTGCAAGCATGTCTGGATTGGTTCCATAAATGTCCCAGAAGTGGGAAGGTACCTTGCTTCCAAGAAGATGGAATTCAAAGTGCTATTATTGGTAGATAATGCACCAGGCCACCCATAAAGTTTGCAGTTTAGCCATCTAGGTGTAGAGATGGTGTTCCTACCCCCTAACACCACTGCTCTTATTTAGCTTCTCGACCAGGGTGTAATAAAACACCTTCAAGGCATATTACACCTGACGCTCTTTTGGTCGTATCCGTGGTGCCATGGACGCAGACCCTGACCTTGATGTTAGCATGTGTTGGAAGGAGTACGGAATTGCACACTGCATTACCAACATCAGTGAAGCATTTAATGAACTCAAACCAGACAGTGCCTGCTTGTTGGCAAACCTTATGGACTGAGTGTGTGAATAACGTCCAGGGATTTCTGTCCAAAGTACAGGATGTGAATGATATTGTGAGTGTTGCACAACAATTGGGTGGTTAGGGGTTTGTGGACATGGTTGCTGTATACGTGGAAGAGCTGACTGATAGGCATGAAGAGGAACTGACAGAAGAGGATTTGGAAGAGTTGGTAAAAAGTACTGAGGAAGGTAACGCAGAAGAAATTATGGAATTGCAACAAAAGGTTGGGGCTTGAAAAATTTTTGTGAACTATTTCAACATGTGAAGGTGGTAACCGATTTCCATGTTGACCATGACCCTTCCATGGAACGGAGCCTTAAGATGGTCCGAGAAATCAACCACCAGGTATTGTTTCCCTACCAGAAAATAGGAAATGTTTAAAGACCTCAAGGCCAAGAGGAAACAACTACCAATCACGATATTTTTCAAGAAAGAACCAGTCACTTGCCCAACTGATTCGTTTCCCTCCCGCACTCAGTCAGCTGCTGCTGCTACCGTAGCCGCTCCACCCTCCTCCTCCTCCCAGCCACGTGCCACCTCCCGGCCATGCGCCTCTCCACCAACCACCACTGAATCACCCTCTTCCAACAGTAATCCTGATGATCCCCTTATGCTTCAATAACCAGATGTCTCCTTATGTAAAGTACACCACTTCATCAAGCTCCAAACATCCACATACAAATGTGGAGTGTGTTTCTCATACACAGTATAGGTATACAGTAGTGCAGTAAGGTAGTATAAGCTGCTACTCGCGGTTTTGCCAATTCGCACCATTCCTTGGAACCTAACCCTCGCGAATAGCAAGGGCTTACTGTATTTGATAACTGTACTTTCATACCCATATAGCATAAACTGAATCAAACACATGTTACTACCCAGTGTATGTCTAGTTCATTTTGAAATATTTTAGATACATAATATATTGGCATTCACCACATACTAAGGAACTGAAAACTAGTCAACCGAGGAATTGCAAAGGATGATTTGCATTTATTTGTACAATTGATAACTTTCATTAATCTGGATCTGCATGTTACATCTTATATAACCAATTACAAACTAATGAAATCAAATGTTACAAGGGAGATTCCTAAAACACAAGGTAATATTCTTATCAGCAACAAAAGGGAGATAACAGAACCATGTCACTTAGTTGTACTTAACTTATCTTGATCTTATCTTAGCCTACATTTTTAATTCTGGTAGGAATTACAAAACTTTCCAATTCATGAATGTTACTCCTATGCAAAATAAAAAAGCCTAAACAAAATTTGATGTAACTTTTCCTATACGTTATGTGAGAGATAAATAGAACAGAATTCAACCTTCTACAGCGATAAGAATAGGATATTAAAGAATTATATTTTTGTAGCTGAGTTAGTTGAGGATACCGAATAAAAGCAACACTGCACACCATTCTCACATCCAACCCAAACAGGAGTATTCAAGTAAAATATTTAAAACATTTTGTAAAATGCCATCAAATTGCACCATTATCAAGTGTAATACACAAATGAATTTTTTTTACAGGAAGCACATGTTCATGTTTTAGCTTTGTTTTTAGGGACATATTATGAATAGAGCTTCAAAAACAATAATTAGGTGTGCTGTGGACATGCAAGAGAATATCTAATTCACCAGTAGTTGTAAATCATAAATTTCATCCATGAAAACACACCGGCATGTTAGAGTCACAAATCTAACAGCAACACTTAAAATATTCACTGTTACAGTATTTAGTTAACATGACTGAAGCAGCTACCTTCTACTAACAAACTAGTTAAAATTACAGTAAAGTTGCATGAAAAAAGAGCAAAAGGAAAAAGTGAAAAATAATCTGCATCAGTATTAAGTGCATTACCTATTTCATCTGACACAGTCCTTAATGAGCTTGAACATAACTGATAAGTAGACACTCAAAGATATTAAAACTTTAAGGGCTTATTTATACCTTCTTATTTGTGTACATCCACTCATCTCAAAAGAAATAATTAACATCCTGCTACAATATTAGAAATGTAATATAATAATTAATCATACCTTCTTATCTGCTCTGAATATCCAGCCTGTCTGTGCTCTAGAAAAAGTTATTTGTTTTGTAGACATCTGTGCAGCTACTATGTCTGAGCTCATAAGGATATCCACCTCATCCTCTATTTCTGCTTCTGTTTCCTGCAAAAATTATTTTTTATTAATGCTAACTTGAATTGATTAATCAAAAAATCTTATTCTATATCAGAAACAAGACTTTACTACTTATGAATTACCAATTATAGACACAGATTCAGTTTGTACTATTACTGGCCAATAAGGAAAAATTACATATAATGGTGAATGATGATTAACCCCTTCATTACAGATGGGATGTATACTTTACATCTGTATACACTTCCTGCAGTACACTACAGCTGGGACGGATATGTCCCTAATAATTTAAAATTTGTACACATTAGTTTGAAAGTGGTCCATGATTGGATAGTACTGTATGGCAATCTATCTATTGTTTCCATCGGCTGAGTCCATATTTATCACCATGAACAATGCTCAGTTACAATCACAATGGAAAGGGTGATGTACTGCCCACTTCCAGAAATTTCTGGGAGATGAAAGTATAAAAGCTTATGATAATAGACACACTGTATATATTTATGGGGCTCAGAGAGGCATGTTCTTTCATATGACAAGAGAAAAATTATTAAAAAAGCAAATAAATTTTTTATTTTTTACTATGTACTGTACTGTATGTGGCATCTGGCAGCAGCGACATCATAGTACACGCTTGTTGCGATGTGGGAAGCATTGCTAGCACCTGTTCACCATGATGTTTCTGGACTCGGGTTGATATGCTTTTTCAAATGACCGTTTTCAGGGTCTAATTAATTTCTTTGCATGCCATAATGAAAGGGTTAACAAATGAAATGTTCAAAATTTTTAAACACAGTAATTCAGTTTTCTTTTGGAAGCAGTTTCCAGTACCAAATAATTCACAGAACACCAACCTCATGTCTAACTCCTTGGTAGACTCTTAGTTTGTTGTCAAGAACTGTCAGGGAATGTGAAGGTTTTGAACTTCCAGTAAACAGAAAGCTGATGTCCCCTCTCTCCCAGCGCATGTCATTAAAATCCACCAATGTTGTGTCTAAGCGAATAGACGCTCCCTTTTTGTGAATCTTACATATATCGGACGGAAGCATTCTGGACACAAGTGGTACTGCAATGAATCAAGAATAAGAAAAAATAAACAAGATTCAAGATTTAAAAATTTTTGGTTCAATTTTTGCATGGGTTAGCGGCAACTACGTACTGGCAGCTGTTGGGTAAATCCAAAACAGGATCTCCACCACCCCCCCCCCCCACCACTGCAAATCCAGGGCACCAGCCCAGAAAATGCATCAGAAACAAGGGGATGGGCACAGTTCTGGTGACCAAGTTGCCATCAGGCATGTTGAAGCAAAGTTTTATGGCTGGATACCCCTCCCAAAACACACCCATAGGTTGGAAACATATGGCAAGGCAAAATTGCAACTCCTTGATGTATTCAAAGATTAACTGCTTAATTGAAGTATCACATGCTTATAATTTTTTATATATTTCAAAAAATTCTAAATCAATTTAGCACTGCAGTAAAGGCACTTACATACTAATCACATTCTGCATATTATTCTTAGAATTTCCCTGAACTCACTCAAACACCCAATTCCCACTAGTGACAAGGTGCACGGTATTCAAGATAACATGTATTCTAAACACATCCACCTACCCCAACTCTGAAAATCCCATTTGAGTTCCATGTAAAAATCCCCCATCTGGGCTAAAGCTCGGACTAAGTCTGGTCTCCGAGTCTCCATGTGCTCTCTGGACTGTAGCTTTAATTTTCGTAATAACACAGAAACTGAAAAAAAAAAAGGATATTAATTTGTTGATTATCAGATACGATGATATGGATTCATATAGACACAAAGGCACGAGAACAATGACTTCTGGAGATCTTGAGAATAATATGAATGGTGAAATCATTCAGAAATTGAGATAAAATGGAAGGCGAAAAAAATAGAGCACATACAATATTAGAAAAAAGTAAACTTAGTTACTGTAGAAGTGTGAGGAGAAAAAATGGAGTGTGAGAGAATAAATGAAACACTAATGGAAATTTACCAACAGTGACCAAGTAGAAGAGAGGGAGGGAATTAAAAACTGAATGTGAAAATAGTATAATTTACATCCTCTCTTTTTGTTCTTACTTGGTGATATGGCAATGTGTCCAGTAAGGATAGCAAGTCTTACTTGATAAGGTTGGTATCCTAAGTATCCACTACAGAATGTGGGTCTTAGAGGGTGAAGTGGGAAATGTCCTTTATGAATAAAATGTCTTCTACGAGTTCAAAGAAGTTCATGGAGATCAAGAGTGATAAATCTATGAGTCCTGACTGAAAGAAGAGCATATTATTGTAAACAAACCTGAAGCAATGATCTTTTACACATCACTCAGAATTGGCAAACTATCAGAACAATGGAAATTACTATACAAATGTACAGGTAAAACTTTTTATTTTAAGAGGTATTTAATTATTCCTGTGAGTTTTACAAGATTCACCTGCTAGATTCAGGACTGCATTGCAAGGAATCATAATATGAGTCATATGGTAAAGAGTCACCTAGTCAGCAGTGCACTGTACAGCTTTATTGTGGCAGATCCACAGAAGTTCAACTATTTAAGGTGCTGAAAACATGCACAGAGAAAATTAACATGGGATTTGGATATAATTAATATCAGTGGCATTATCTGAGTAATCACCTAGATTTTTTCTTTTTTTCTTTGTTTAACAAAGGACAGTTAAAGTAAATATGGTCAGGTTTGACTAGAGTGTAGTGCAAAGTGAAAACCTACAAATGAGTGCAATAGTCCTGAATGTATTCATCATATACAGCAGTGTATAATTATGATTCACCTAATTATATGTTTTGCCATACTTTAGTGATTTGTATCTTTAGGCTCACACTAAGATGTTCCACAATATTAACCCTTAAGCCCCGGGTTAGGGTGCCGCTGGGCATACCCCCCCCACACGGGGGTAAATCGAGAAAAATCAACTTTCCCAAAAATAATTTTTGACCTTTTTTAAATGATAAAACAATAAAAAAGTAAGAAAAACTATATATTGATGCTCTAGAAACTTCCCTGGCAGTGCTGAGGGAGGAGGGAGGCGATAAAGGGACAGCTTGTTGACAGCGAGCACTCATGGTCAACTACACACTTAGCAGCTATTTTTAGCTTGCCTTTGTGTCCGAGATTGCCAAAAATGCATATATTTACTGATCATAATACTTATTTCCTAGAAATAATTAATTTAGAATTTATTTTAATTGCATTATTTTACAAAAAAACTGCTCGGCGACACACACGGCTGTCTTTGTGTTTGGTAGAGCAAGTAATGCGAAGATATAATTATTAGAATAATAATTCCACAAATAAATACAATTATAACATAATCATAGCATTATTTTCCAGTAATACTACACTACAATACATCTACACTACTTTTAGCAATATTACTTTGATACAACATGATAAAATGGACAAACAGGAAGCTTCCCTGTGGCCGAGCGTGTGGTGTGACAGGCAAATAGTCAAACTGGAACCTGATAACCCGCGCTGGGCATTTAAACAGTGGCAGGAAATGGCACGCGTTCTGGAATGTCACCCGGGGCATAAGGGTTAAGCCTGGCTAGAAATGTTTACAATGTCAGGTGATAACTTCTGCCAGAACAAAGAGAACACAATGCATAATAGAAAAATTGAGCAAACCGAGTAGAGTAAAGGACCTGGGTGTTGTGAATGACAATAGTGTCAACTGAATATCACATGAACAACAGAAACCATGAACAAGACAATTGGTTTATTCCAGTGACCATTCACTCACATAAAGAAAATTTCAGATGGCTGTAGAAGGCCCTGGTCCAAACATATTTAAAGAGCACAGTACACCAAAGCAGTATGGCATCCCCACAAGATGAAAGACATCTAAGCAACCAAGAGTTTAGAGATTGGCATCAAATTTATCAACTGAGTATAGAAACTTGAGATATGAAAACCATCTGAGAAAGTTAAATACCATCCTCCATACGATGAGCAGCAATGTATTAATTAAATTACTAATTATGAGGAAACTTACTAGTTTGTCTGTCACCAAAACTGATGGCTTCTGCTAAGGGACTCCAGCCATTGCAATTTTTGACCTTTACTGGTGCTCCATGCGCCAGAAGGAGATGTATACATTCTGTTAAAAAAACACTTTTAATTATCCTGCCCAACATAATCTGAAAGAGCAAAAATTGCCACAAAATCTTACTATACTGTTGTATTAGCCCCCCGTCTCATGGCAATAACAATTATATATATTTGGGTTAATACATTTAGTTTATACAGTATAACCCAATTGCCCTACTGTAATTTTCCATAAGCTGTGAGGTGCCATGTGCTGTTCACGTGAGGGGAAATTCCTCTATCAGTAAGCCGACCTTGAGAATGTAGGGTTAGCCCAGTCTCTCCTTCAGAGCCTCCTCTCACAGGCACCAGTCTTCACTTGAGTTTCACGAGAATCGGACGGGTGAACTAACTCAGTCAAGCTGAGCCCCCGTCCTTAACTAACACACAGCTTACAGTGTTAATTACGGTGCATCTACTAATAGACTGTGACCAATATAGTTTTACCAATAAATGGAGAAAAGATGATTTTGGGTTTGTAACTTAACCCCTTAACTTATTTATATACAGTATAAGCCAAGTTAAGGGAACTCTACCCAAAGCTTATATACTGTAGCTATGTACAGTCTCTTTCAAGATTCTTCAAACACTGCTGAAGGCAGCTGGCACCTCAAGGCCGCTAGTTTACTATAGTACGTAGTATGATATAATACGAAACAACAAAGCCCAACCAGTAAATTAAGCAACGGAGAACTAAGAAACCAATCACCAATCACTTTTACATTTATTCATAATTTTTACGACGTACTATAGTAAACAAACGGCCTTGAGTTGCCAGCTGTCTTCAGCAGTTTTCGAAGAATCTTGAACGAGACTGTACATCAACTTATATCCTGGATAATGTACTACATATAAAATTAAATAACTTTGCATATTCACCTAGTGAGGTTTGGCCACTACTAAGGTGAGATAGAACTACTGTGACCAACTCTACCATTCATTAACAATTCAAAATTTAATAGGTTCTCTGATGATACAGTTACTGTACTGTACAGTACAGGTTAACAACCCTTTATTCGAAATTCCGAAAACCGAAAAGCTCTGAAAACCGATAAAAATTTTTGGTGGGGCAATTTTTTTTTTTTTTTTAACCAGGGATTAGCCCACCCAGGCATAGATCACTGACCCACATCGGGGCCTGGGGGGTGAAAATGTAATAATAATTATAAAAATAATTATTCACAGTAAATAAAATTGTTAATAAAAAATACACCAAAATAAAATAATAATGATAACAATAATAATAATAATAATAATAATAATAAAAAAAAATAATAATAACAATAATACTCTAATAATAAAATAATAATAATAAAGAAATACAAGAATGAAAAAAGATCAAAAGTGAGAAACACGACCTAGACCTGTGAATTATTATTATTATTATTATTATTATTATAATCTTTATTCTATTTTCGGCCCCCCAGGCCCTGATGTGGGTCAGTGACTTGTGCCCGGATGGGCTAATACACACATAAAAAAAAAAAACTACAGCTAGACCCCGACTTACGACTGCCGCAGTTGTGACCATTTTTTTTTTCTCTCTCTCCAAATGACACACGCATTTTCTATGCCAAAACGTTTCCAGTTAATGTAGTCTCCATGTATAATTAGAAAATTATGGGGGCCCCATGTGCATTCAGCTGACTACATTAAAGGTAAGTGCTCAGTCACACTGTATCCATTCCTCATTATTTATTACTTTTACTGTACTGTATCCATTCCTCATTATTTATTACTTTTACTGTACTGTATTTCATTGTAGATTTTTTATTAAAAAAAAAAAAAAAAATTATATCTATGTCGGACTTACGACCATTCGGACTTACGACCTGGATTTGGGTCCCTAACCCCGTCATAAGTCGGGGTCTAGCTGTATTCTGAAAACCGAAAAATTCCGAAATCCGAAATGCCTCTGGCCCCAAGGATTTCGGATAAGGGATTGTCAACCTGTACTTGAAATGGGGACTAGGCATTACCATGAAATACTGTCATTAGTAATGCAAAGCTGATTTCAGTTGTAATCCTTAAAACATTATGAATGCTTATTAACTTCACGTATTTACTATTCATTTCTAAATAAAAAAAATTATACTGTACAGTATACTGCATTAAAAGGAACAATTACCATTTGGCCTCACTGTTTTTAATCTTATTATCAAAGTTCACTATGTTTTCAAATAAAGCAGCTACCTGTACAGAATAGTAGTTGCATTATGTACTGTACATAACTAATGCATAAATATAAAATAATAATAATTCTTAACTATTAACCAAACACTGTGCAGTACAGTATATTAGAAAGTTACATCCTTTAAAAAGTTACTTACTGTAATTGGATCACCTGTACTTCTAGAAATAGGCAACATAGTACAGTAATAGGAAAATATGCAAGGAATTGCTTGAAAATACAGTACAGTACTACTGTATAAAACTAGAAAGTCAAGATTGAAGCCATCTGGTCTGTGGGCCACCCATGAGTAGCAGGGGTGTTGTGGTATGGGTGGTAATAGGGTGTATTGTTATAAAAATTTAGGGCATATTGCTACATTCATCATGGAGCAATTTACTAGAAAAAATTGAGAAATTGCTAGTGTTGTGGATAGATTCTAATAGTTCTGATGAATGCATGCTTCTTAGCCAAGTTGTCCTTTGCAATTTAGTTCATTATCTATTTGAATGTGTAAAGCAAGAAGAGGGTGGTGATTCTTCTGAAGCATTTAATGGCAGTTCAGGTTGGTTTCAAAATTGTAAATGCATCAAGAATACTCAGAGTTCAGAAGTGTTTATATAACTGACTAATCAGCAAGCACTGATGAAGAGGTGGCCATAAAATTCATGTCAAACTAATGACAATTAACGGTAGCTATTGAAAATAAGGATACCTGACCGAGCTTGTTTTCAAAGTTGACGAAACTGGACTTTTTGGGATAAGAATGCCATCACAAACCAGCTCTCTTCAAAAAAAAATTGTGGTAAGTGTTGCTTTTTATTAACACTGGTTCTAATAATTAATATTAAGTACTGTATATTGTATAATAATCGAATAACATAATTTTCAATATATAATATTGTATTGGTGTATTTATACATATTTTATCCATTAAATTTAAAAGTAATGTACAGTCTATGGAAGCAAAACATGCATAAAACAATTCCCATTAAGTACATTATAAACTGTTTGTTTATTCCAAAGACCTTTCAGAATGCATCCTTTGTGCTAAATTTTGCATTCTTGTGCAGTATTTTATGAAGCATTGCTAATAAGAATACTGTACCCTATAGCTCCTGTAATATAAGATGACAGAATCAAGGAGGTTTACTTAGAGAAAGTCATCTTCTTAATCATAAAACATACATTATGATGCTATTTCACATTACCTTTATGCCCCAACATGACAGCCAGGTGGAGAGGTGTATTTCCTGGAAATGTTGATAATAATAAGTGAAGGTCTGAATGATGATAGACTGTAGGTATACAGTACCATTACTGGTATTTTTTTTAATTTACCATAAAAACGAAATAAAAAATAATACGTACTCTATTTTTGTCACTTTAAGTTAAAATATTGTATTGTAATATCTAAAATATTGTAGCTACAGTACAGTATACTTCTTTACAGTGAACATTATTCTACGATATGTTATCCAATTTACAACAAACTCTTGAAGTCAGTAATAAAATTGAAGTTCAATCAGTTTACATCAGCAAGAGATGAGTCAGGTTAAGTGGACCTACAAGTGGGTAGATTACAATATTTTAAGTTTTATTAAGAGACATCAGGTGGGGTTACTACAGATACAGTGCAATGGTTAATGCTGACAACAGCAACACATAACTCCCATGCTTCATGTATTTTTGTGCAACAGTCTTAACACAAGCCCAGGATGATATGCAAAAATTTTTTTTTATATCTTTCCTTTTTATGTACAGTATTCAAATTATATTCCTGGCACTAGGGGGGTGTCATGTCCATTGTTTATGTATGGTGTTACCCATTATTTTCTTGTTAGAGATGCCATTAACTTTGAAAAAGTCTGGGTGTCAAGCCCAGATTCAGTCAGGTAACCCTACAGCTCCTCTCAAACATTTCCTGTTTCCCTTATACAGGTACTGTATTAGCACATCTATGTAAATATATTGAAATATGCATTACATCCTTTGGCAACATGATCTTGGTGTCTAACATCAGTTGTAGAGATGTAAAAAAAAAAAAAAATACAATAAATAAAAATAAAATATATATATGTTGGGTGGAAAAAAACGTTTTTTTCCGGTATTTTTGTAGCCTCTCATAAATTTACATTTTGAGTTGCTTCCAATATAAGATATAATTATAGTGTTTTTAGATAATTTACACATTTATTTTCATTAATTTACAATAACTATTGTCAAAAGTAGTACTGGAAAGTACTCTACTCTGCAGAGGTATTGTACATGTACAATCATTAGCAATATTTTCCAATATATTTACTACCCCTATATACTCTTCAGTAAAGTATTTTGTTAGTTTCAAAATATACTTTTTGTGTAAAATAATCTATCATTATTATTTAAGAAAAAAATTCAAGAAAAGAATAAAGTAACCCATTTATAAAAGTACTGTACTTTAATTACACAATTTCAAGAGAGAGAGAGAGAGAGAGAGAATGACTGTTACAGAACTTATCAACCCTCTTCAGATTTTTTTTTGCCGAAGAAAAAAGGTTTTATTCCGCCGAAAAAAACAAAAACATTTACATCACTAGTAAGGAGTGGTAGCGGTGTTCTCATACATTACCGAAAAATTTGCAGTTCATCAAACCGAAAAGATCCTCCTATTCTAATATAAAAATCCAACTGTTGCTATATATCGAATATTGTATTCAACCAATCTCTTGGTGTGCACATTAGCATGTAGCTAATGGCAAGTGTGTTGAGGATGTAAACATGGGAAAATTAAAAGTACGAAAGCTGTAACTCCTTCACCCATTTATTTCTAGTCATGAGGTTAGAAACAAATTTTCTTCTATAAATTATTCTTTTTAATTTCTAAGAACAGCATGACCACCAGAAGGAATTGTTTGATTTCGTACATTTTTTCCACAGATGTTATTATCATAGTATTTTAAAAGAGGTGACATTTACTAGAACCTAATACTGTACAACCTAAACCTCGTCAACCAAAGAAACCTACCTAACCTTACCGAACTTCCTAGCCAGGGGGCGGATCCCCACCATATTAAACAAAGTACTGTACTTATTTTGATATCTAGTACTAATATAAGTAAATTTGTTGAAGTGTCATGGTGCAATTTTAACTTTTTTGTAGAATTAAGAGTACACTCGGACCGAGTGGGTTGATTGTAAACAAACAACTCAACATGCAGTGACATCTGATTTTTCAGAGAAGCATTTACTGTAAACAGTTAAATTCTTAATGTTTAGAGACATCATTTTAGTGTCATATGATCAGTTTTTCACTGTGTTTTACCAGGCAATTTTCCTCATCTTTCATGCCCTGCCCACTACAGGTGATTTATGATTGTAGAGAAAAAATAAATCAATAATAATTAAAATAAAAAGTTGCTGTCTCTTTTAAAATACTTCCTATGGTGATAAGAACAAATGTGGAAAAAATGAATGAAATCGAACAATTTCTTCTGGTGGTAGTGCTGTTCTCAGAAATTATCAAAATTTTCCTACAGTGGCTCCTTCTGATGTTTAAAATATCCTCAAGATGCTGGTACAGGCACACAACAGGTGTTAACTACTTTATATACTACCAACACCATCTCTTTTTGGATAGACAAATATCAATAGCCACTAATTTTTCAAATCCTTGTGATTATGACACAAATGGAAATAAGATTTAAGTCTTTTTTGTGCCAACACTGTTATGGACTAGATAAACTACTGTAAAGTTGTATGACAATTTCACTGTAAAAATATCTAAAGATCAAACTCCAACGATACATGTGAAGAGGGTGCTTAAGCATAACCTTGCCATTATTACACACATCCATCCCACATGAGAAAAAAGCTAATGAGTACGCCAGAAACACGTGAATTAACCGTCAAGTAACACTGAGTCTTGTTAGTCCACTATAAACACCATGACAACTGTGAGAGGCGAGGATGGTAGCACTCATAGCATGGTTCTCTTTTCATATATCTGTTCCTCGCTAGCTGAGTTATCACATATCTTACCATGCTTATCCTTTTTGCCAACATCACAAGTTCGTATTAGCGCAGATACTCTTCGGATATCGCCATTAAAGACACTTTCATGTAGTTCGTAAGAGTTATTGTCGTCGGCCATGTTTACATATTCACATACTGGAGTCAAAGGAGAACCTGAAATACATGTTTTAATGGTCAAATAAATAATATGATTAATTTATATAAGATAATATAGCACAATTTTGTAGTGAATTATTCTATTGTTAATTAAATTAATACATTAGATAATAAATATGGAAATTTATTAAATATACTACCAACGTCTTTTGACACTTGTAAGAGAGAACGACCCTGGCTGTTAGTGAAGGGTAACTATGGCAAACAACAATAGCTGTCTTCTATACTGTATATATAACAAAGAAGTCTGTCTGTCTGTTTGTTTATTATTTTATTTGTTTGTGTGTCCGCACGAGAATCTCAGAAATTACTTTACCGATCTGTAGTGATGATGGATGGTGTTATATGTACTGATGATGGATGGTGTTATATGTACTGATGATGGGTGGTGTTATATGTAGTGATGATGATGTTATATGTACTGATGATGGATGTTGTTATATGTAGTGATGATGGGTGGTGTTATATGTAGTGATCAGTGGCGGCTCGTGCATAGGGCTGCAGAGCTGCAGTCCCCCAGACACTCACTGCCAGGCGTATGATTCCTTTAGAGAGACAGCTGAATAATACACTACCAACAAATATATCATTTTATATGTTATTTAATTATTTTCAATACGTTGCTAAGTGAATTTTCATTAAAATCAGACCAAAATTTAAGTTACTTTCATAGTTGCTGTCAATGCTGTACGATTCATGTCTGTTATTAATTGGCGCCGCCGCCGCCTCCGCACTTGAAGCAGCTCAGTCTCGTACAACGTGTGGACGGTGTGGTTAAATCGTGCTTTCTTTAATTACCCTTTGACGATGGAAAATCGAGTGAAGTATTTGCAAAACATCAACTTTTCCCAGCTGACATTAAATGAAAAGACTGAAATCAAAGCAAGAGGAAGACCTACACCAGTTTTATCCATTAATACTGGTCCATCACCACCAACACTACTACCATGCCCTGGGAATTCGTGGACATCAACTACAACCCATACCTGAGGTAGGTCAAATTTGTGTATCCTACTGTTGTGTGAGGCTTGCAGTCCCTCCATTTTATTTTTCACGGAGGGGAGGGTATGGTGGGGTTGGGAGAAGGGTTCCTCAGATGTCAGCCTTCAGGTCACTGCTCGACAGTTCTCCAGGCCGCCAAAGATAAGGACCCGGGTTAGTCCCTCCGGGGGGTTAACGAATAATATTAAAAAAGAAAACACAGTCGACTACCGTCTAACTACCCTCGCCTCCCTCCGACCCCCCCCCCCCTTCTAACATCCTGCTCCGACCCTCCACGGCTCCACCAGTGTCCACCACAGTTTTCCCTTCATTTTTAATTTTATCCAAGTTTGCCCTGAATTTGTGGCGCCCCCAGATGTTGGCGCCCTAGGCGATTGCCTAGTTCGCCTAGTGGGTAGCGCCGGCCCTGAGTATAACCTAAATTAAATGCAACATATATATAACTCCCTAACTAAATTTCTTACATTATCTCTATTGTTCTGCTATTCAACATAATAGATTAGCAGTTATGATAGCTAACCTCACTCTCTCCTGTCGATTGATGAAGGCAGCAGTGGAGTCTTCAAGTTGTCTACCTAAGGTTAGTGTTCAGTAATCCAGGTATATGAACTACCTTACAGCACACAGCCTATCATCTACAATACCTCTATGCGTGTGTGTGTGTGTACAGAAGACGTTAACAGTGTGTCTATTCTTAAGGTAATTTCTAAAGACTACATAAGATTCAAAACATTTATTAATTAGTTTACATAAATAATATACAAGTTAGGAGGAAAGTCTCTATCTACACTTTTCAGTCTTGTAAGGCCACAAGAGCGTCACGGCAAGCTTCGATCCCTTCTTGTAGTGTTGGTCGGTGATAAGGATGATAGTGCTGGCTCTCGTAAACCCAGTTATGCAGTTCCCAAGGGTATTTTGAGTCGGGAGGGAGGATTTGTTTGGCTAGGGATCCCATGCTATAAACTTCTGATGCCTCTGAGCATTTCCCTGCCCGGACTAACTCTGGGGCCAGCCAGTACTGTTCGTGGTTATGCATTGGCCCGTCGTCACTGTACACTACTTCGTTGACTGGAGTGCACCAACCGAAGTCAATTAATGTAACACGCGGCTGTTCTTCTTTTATTTGGACGCAAACGTTGTCCTTTTTTATGTCATTATGACATTGTTTGCGTTTAAGCGTACCACGCAGAATTTTCAGTAGATTTAGATTAATTTTAACGGAGTTTTTCAGAGAAAATTGGTCACTCTCCATGTATTTTCTAACAGTCTGTCCTCCAAAGTCACTGATTACAGCTCGCTCACTGAGACAAACTGATATTAGTTTTTGAATCCCCGAATCCTGGTTGGTTTTCAAGGCCTTAACTTCGAGTACGAGGGATTCAGTGTCCTTGAATTGCTTTAGAACAAAATTAGACTTTTTTCCTGGGCGAGAGAGAAGGATGCAGGACCCGAAGGTCCCTGACCCAAGACGGCGACTTTTATTATTTTTTTTCAATTTTTTCAACTGTTGCGAACTAAGGAGTTTTACCCCATGTTCAGAGGCCCAACTCCTAAACTTTTCGACTAGATTACTTTTCATTTTTGTTTTTTTTCCTCTTCGGTAATACTACACATCAGTGCGGTGCAAACTATCCAATGTCTTGACGTCTTTTTGTAGTAAGAGGTAATGAGTTCAGAGGGCTGTTGTGTACGGTGGGAGTTATAGTGTTAATGTACAGTATAGTGAAGTATTAGTATATGTGGGTATTATAGTGTTAATGTACAGTGCTTTATAGTGAAGCTATAGTGTACGGTGAGTATTATAGTGTTAATGCACAGTGCTTTATAGTGAAGATATAGTGTACTGTGGATATTATAGTGTTAATGTACAGTGCTTTATAGTGAAGCTATAGTGTACTGTGGGTATTATAGTGTTAATGTACAGTGCTTTATCGTGAAGATATAGTGTACTGTGGATATTATAGTGTTAATGTACAGTGCTTTATAGTGAAGCTATAGTGTACTGTGGGTATTATAGTGTTAATGTACAGTGTTTTATAGTGAAGATATAGTGTACTGTGGGTATTATAGTGTTAATGTACAGTGTTTTATAGTGAAGGTATAGTGTACTGTGGGTATTATAGTGTTAATGTACAGTGCTTTATAGTGAAGATATAGTGTACTGTGGGTATTATAGTGTTAATGTACAGTGCTTTATAGTGAAGATATAGTGTACTGTGGATATTATAGTGTTAATGTACAGTGCTTTATAGTGAAGCTATAGTGTACTGTGGGTATTATAGTGTTAATGTACAGTGCTTTATAGTGAAGATATAGTGTACTGTGGGTATTATAGTGTTAATGTACAGTGCTTTATAGTGAAGATATAGTGTACTGTGGATATTATAGTGTTAATGTACAGTGCTTTATAGTGAAGATATAGTGTACTGTGGGTATTATAGTGTTAATGTACAGTGCTTTATAGTGAAGATATAGTGTACTGTGGGTATTATAGTGTTAATGTACAGTGCTTTATAGTGAAGATATAGTGTACTGTGGGTATTATAGTGTTAATGTACAGTGTTTTATAGTGAAGATATAGTGTACTGTGGGTATTATAGTGTTAATGTACAGTGCTTTATAGTGAAGATATAGTGCACTGTGGGTATTATAGTGTTAATGTACAGTGCTTTATAGTGGAGATATAGTGCACTGTGGGTATTATAGTGTTAATGTACAGTGCTTTATAGTGAAGATATAGTGTACTGTGGGTATTATAGTGTTAATGTACAGTGCTTTATAGTGGAGATATAGTGTACTGTGGGTATTATAGTGTTAATGTACAGTGCTTTATAGTGAAGATATAGTGTACTGTGGGTGTTATAGTGTTAATGTACAGTGTTTTATAGTGAAGATATAGTGTACTGTGGGTATTATAGTGTTAATGTACAGTGCTTTATAGTGAAGATATAGTGTACTGTGGGCATTATAGTGTTAATGTACAGTGCTTTATAGTGGAGATATAGTGCACTGTGGGTATTATAGTGTTAATGTACAGTGTTTTATAGTGAAGATATAGTGTACTGTGGGTATTATAGTGTTAATGTACAGTGCTTTATAGTGAAGATATAGTGTACTGTGGATATTATAGTGTTAATGTACAGTGCTTTATAGTGGAGATATAGTGTACTGTGGGTATTATAGTGTTAATGTACAGTGCTTTATAGTGGAGATATAGTGTACTGTGGGTATTATAGTGTTAATGTACAGTGCTTTATAGTGAAGATATAGTGTACTGTGGGTATTATAGTGTTAATGTACAGTGTTTTATAGTGAAGATATAGTGTACTGTGGGTATTATAGTGTTAATGTACAGTGCTTTATAGTGAAGATATAGTGTACTGTGGGTATTATAGTGTTAATGTACAGTGCTTTATAGTGAAGATATAGTGTACTGTGGGTATTATAGTGTTAATGTACAGTGCTTTATAGTGATAGTGCTATAGTGTACGGTGAGTATTATAGTGTTAATGTACAGTGCTTTATAGTGAAGATATAGTGTACTGTGGGTATTATAGTGTTAATGTACAGTGCTTTATAGTGAAGATATAGTGTACCGTGGGTATTATAGTGTGAATGTACAGTGTTTTATAGTGAAGATATAGTGCACTGTGGGTATTATAGTGTTAATGTACAGTGCTTTATAGTGAAGATATAGTGTACCGTGGGTATTATAGTGTTCATGTACAATGCTTTATAGTGAAGATATAGTGTACTGTGGGTATTATAGTGTTCATGTACAATGCTTTATAGTGAAGATATAGTGCACTGTGGGTATTATAGTGTTCATGTACAGTGCTTTATAGTGAAGATATAGTGCACTGTGGGTATTATAGTGTTCATGTACAGTGCTTTATAGTGAAGATATAGTGTACTGTGGGTATTATAGTGTTCATGTACAGTGCTTTATAGTGAAGATATAGTGTACTGTGGGTAT